ATAACTGGACAAAAAAGGAGTGCACAGTTAATTTAAAAAAAAAACAAAGGTCTATCTGGGCCTGTCCTGGCATTTTGGTTGATGATACATTGATTCTAAAGCTTTTTTAAGCTAATCTAGCAGGAAATTCCTGTGTGAGCTTCTAAGGTGACTAAAAGAAGAAATGCTTTTTTTGGTTTTAGATTATTACTTTACCATGTGTGTGTATGTGTTTCCCAATGCCAAACCCGAACTATAAAATTAGCATATCAACCTTCAACTTATAAATGAGCAACACAAGAGGGAAACATTTAGAATTCGGTATGATTTCCACTCGCAGTGTACGCATACTATGACTCAACTTGTTCGCAAGTCACAGCACCTCAAGCCACTCAGTCCTTTCAAGGTTACGAGGGACAAAAACACTAGTAAGGATTCATTGGAGCACTGCAAAAAAAAAAAACTAGGAGGCTTGTATCAAACCAACATCTGCAAACACATCAAGAAATATTCACATCTGCTGGACTGGTTCATTCTTTCCATTACTGCTGAGAAACTTTAGAGAGATAAGATGGATCATAATGCAATTAGATCTTGATAGTGTGGATGTTAAAATATACAACAGCACAGCAGATACAGTCCAGTGACAAATAGCGAGGAAAAATATCAGACAGCTACCATAGGTCTGCTGTATTCTTTGCACACTGACAGATACTACAACAGCACCATTACTAGTTCGGATACTAGAGCTGCTTATAGGCCCAAAAAACATCTCATATTACTGATATGGCTGGCGATATGAGGTTTTTATTTAGCAATCATTAAAATAAACCTTTCGCTTCTAGGATTATTTAGCAAAAGATGCACAATAGTTTGCTGTTCAATACTTGGAATTTGACAATAAAGTTGAATCTAATCTGATGTGATCTATTCAAAACTTCAGCAGCCTTATGCTATGTAAATGTAGTGACAACTTCTTTATTTTAAAATGATTACTGAACATGTAGCCTTAACATACTTACTAAATTATTCTTAGCATTGATTTTTTTCATTATGTTCCTGTAAAACAAGTGTCCATATTTGTGCATATCAGAAAACTGAAACACTAAAACCAGCATCTCGCTATTAAGTCCACATCGGCCTGAAAAAATCGGCACACAGAAATATCAGTCAGGCTCTACTGAATATATCAACTTCTGCACATATCAAAGTGGTCTGTGGTCTTTTGGTCCATAACACTGTCAGAAATGTATCTGATTATGTGACGCTGATGGTCCAGCGCTTAGGTTAGCCTCAAGTACTAAGGCTATACTGCTCCAAGTGGGCAGCCCAGGTTCAAGCCCAACCTATGTCTCCTTTCCCACATGTCATTCACCACTCTCTCTCCCTGATTTCCTCCTGCACTGTATCTCTAATAAAAGGGAAAAAAACCCAAAAATGAATCAGTGAACAGTTATGTCGCACCGGCCTCGGGTTCAAATCCAACCCCGCTCTCTCCTCCCAAGATTTCCTGTCTCTCTTCAGCTCTTTCTTTAAAGCACTTCAGCCTCAACTTACATTTATAGTAATTATTCTCATTATTGCAGGTCTATCATTTTACAGGAAACAAAAAACCTGGTGTTGAAACAGCAAATAAGTCACACACATATATAGTGTTTTGTTAAAATTACACCAGAATGCAAATATAATTGTGCTCTAAAACCTTTTTAAATAGACTCTGCAGAAGTCAAAGTCTAACTTGGTTATGTAAATGGTCATTAAGAAATAACATTTTTGGGACAGCCTGGTAGCCTTAAGGGTTTCAGACACTGACCATGTAATCACAACATCCCCCAGTCGGCTCCAGCCAAGCCTCTCTTTCCCCTCATTTCCTGTCAGCCCTCCACTATACACTGTCTAATAAAAGCCAAACTACTTTTGCAAAACTTTCAAAAATACACTTTACTTAACGTGTGGATTCGTAGGGAGAGATAATACATGACACAGGTAACGATAAATATAATAATAACAGAAAGGTTTCGCAACAAGCCCTGTGGGACTTGCCAATTAGGTAACTGACGACAGATGTGGCACAAGTTTAGAGAACTTTGCAGTGGCTGTGCAGTAAGGCCGCAACTCAGAGAAAATTATGATTGGATGTCAGAGCTTAAAATGTCACTGTTCAGTTCTCAGCTGAAGTGCTGTTAAATCTGAAGAGTAGGACACACGTCTCACAAACACGACCTATAGCCTGCAATAAGAGTGATGGTATATGTGATGGTTTGTGTAAATATTAAGGCTGTAGAAGTATAAAATAATAATAACGATTAATCACTGAATTTCAATAGTTAATAGCAAAGAATCTCATTTTGTAATTCCATTATTTTACGTAACAGTTTAGTTCTGATTTTACTTTGAAAGTTTGAACTGTCTTATGCTAATGGTCCTTAACTTCCGGTTGGATACAAATCTGCTTTTATTTTGAAAGAAGATGAAAATAACTTCCAGTAGATTGAAGGTTACCACAATAATCTAACAATTGAAAAGGGAACTTGTTATGAACCAATCATTTTTTTGTCACAAGGTGGGTATTACTCTTGATTTGTCAACTGAGCTGTCTGGTAGTTTTTGAAAGTGAACTGAGCCATACAAATGTGCAGTGGTGTCAATCTTTTTTTCACCACTGTGACTACAGGGAGACGCTACGATGGCTGTACCGACAGTGCGCCTAAATGGCTTGTGATTAATGCCATTTTAAGAAATGAATTAGTCCGTATTGTACCTTGATGGCGTAACAAGTTAACTCTGACAGCCATAGTAAATATGATATGTAGCTGCAAAGCTTTAAAATCTTCTGTATTGGGATACACAACAGAAGTGGCCTGCTATCAAAAATGGTAACGATTAAATAATACTTAACTGGCTTCAGATGAGCAAGGAAAGTATAAAACGTTGTTGTTTTTTTAACAATACCATTACATATAGAGTATGTGGCGGTCAAATGTGTGGTAACTTTAACATTTAAAACAGTGAGCAATGAGTATGGTCTTTTTCAAATGGGTAAGAGAACTACTTAGACAAAAAAAAAGATATAATATGTAGCAGTGGTATATGTAAGAGCAAGAGGTTATCAGGTTCGATCTAATAAAGATCTTATTGAGAACAATTAAAACTGCATGAAGACATTTTTCCTATTGCCTCTTCTCTGTGAGTGCAGGGCACTAATCCAACAACTGCTCCATTTATGTTCAAGAACATTTTTATGTTCAACCATCCTCCAAATGCTATATGCTGTCAAGCTGTCACATAGTCACTCATTCAAAATGTCAAGCTTGAAGTTTTCAAACTGCTCTAGATTCTGCATCAAAGTATTTTTGTATTATAACCCATGAGAGGAGCCCCTTGACTTGCTTCTACACGCTCTCCTCGACAGATGTTTGCAGGTTATTTGATATTATCAGTCATACTTAACGGTCATTTTGCTGCCAAGACCCTTTCTCTCTCTCTATTTTGAATGAGCAACACATAGAAAGACTACCTTGTGTCTTTTTAACCATAATACCCATTTCACAATAATAGACCTGAGAGAAACCACAAAGGGGCAAGAAATATGGTGGGCATATGAAACCCCCTTAAAATTAAATACTTTATTTGTTAAAGAAAAAAAATCTAAAGATATTTGCATCTCTTTTTAAATGGTAAAAAGCTCATATTTAGTCCTTGGAAACACTCAACGTGTAAGCTCATATGGAGAAGTAAATCAATGAGTTGTTCTGAAACTGTCCAAAAAGATCAAAGTGTCCTAATAAAAAAAACGAGCAGGAACTTTCCTGCAAACTTTGCTTCTGAAAGAACTTTAAAGAATATAAATTGGAGGCCACTCCAAAACTTAAAAAAAAAAACAGTGTCTCACCAGTGTGCCAATCACACTTGAGTTTAAAAACATGATCATTTCAGCAAATCTTAAATTTATATTACCGTCCATATCATATACAGATCTGGAGGATATCAGTGAGCATCCTTATCATATGCTGCCCCCAGAAGAAAAATCCATTTGTCTTTAAGGTATTACTCCAACTCTGCACTTTAACAACTCCATTTCTAACTCAATGTTTGGATATCTGGTTTTCCTGAAGTAAAATCCCAGACAAATATAATTTCAGTTTTCTAATCCATCACTTACACACATCTTTCAAAAAATGACTGGCATCTCTAATTATTTATCCACTGACAAAAATCTAAAGGTAAGTATAATTCTGAATAGTTCAATATTTTTCATTAACGATCAGGTTATTGTCCATGCAATTACCTAATTAATGTGTAAAGTATATCCAGATTATTCCTTCAAGCAAAACATCTTTTTGAAATGGTCACGGATTGTTGTTGAACTGCTAAAAATAGATGATCAAGTTTTACATTGCAGTAACTAATAAGTGTTAATAAGGTCTTTGTTTTTGTTTTTTTAAGTTGATTATTTCTGCTTCTGCTTTGATTTACTGACAAAAACTTTTTTTTACAAGAGGGCAATAGTTTTTTAGAAAGTGTGTTTTTTTTTTTACCCTAACACTATCAGTGCATCTGGCGTGAAACAATGCAATGTCTGCTGGGTCAAACAAAAGCGAGGCAGCGGGCCTGAGACAGCACGCCCTTCAGTGGAACATGAGATATGTGCACACACAGTGCACATGTGGCCTCAGCAAAGAAGGGGGCGTGTCAGTCCCATTCATCCAGAGAAGTGAAAGTGAACACATAATATTCACCCTGGAGTTGTGTTTTATTGCCAAGCTTCACATTGAAGGGACCATCATGCATTTAGCCTTCATGCATGACCTTGATCCAAACCGCCTGTTAACTTTAGGAGGTGTCCCCCCCATACACACACACACACACACACACACACACACACACACACACACACACACACACACACACACACAAGGCCTCAGGCAGTCAAAAAGTCACACAGTTATATCAGCGTGCAGAAGAGTGCAAAAGCAAGTAAAACACATACTTATATAAGAGTGTAGAAGAAATTAACTCACCGTCTTTGAGTCTAATTCATGGTGTTGTTGAGCTAAGACTTTATCTACACTGGCAGCATCTGTAAACGTAACAAACCCAAATCCTCTGCAAAGAAAAACAAAAACAACAATTATTTAACAATGTCAAAATAAATATGATAACGCCAAATAAAAATACTTTTTTTTTTTTTTTTAACACTGTAACTTACCGCAATAAACAACATCACAGTAACCTAATATTCATTTGACCTTAATATCGTAAAGATATTTCTGTTTAAATATGTTTATGATCCATATTATAAACGTCCTACGGTACATTTGTAACAGTCACTGAGGACACTGCTGCTCATAATTTGCTATGAAACAATGTGAGACGACACTACACCAACATTGTGGTGCAGTCACAAAGTCAATGTCAAATTGCATTGGGCTGCAGCTTTACAGCAGTGAGCGTTTAAGCTCATCTGCTGTGAAACCACACGCAGGCGCGCGCACACACACAGGGACACACACGAACACAGAGAGAGACACACACACACACACACACGCTGGATTAACACTGAACACGGACAAAGTAAGCGATATCGCTTCATGCACAGGAAAGAAAAAAGTAAGAAAGCCGTGTATTTACCTTGAGCGTTTTGTCGTGGGGTCTCTCATCACCATACATTCTCTTATTTCTCCGAATTTACTAAAATAGTCTCTAAGGCTGTCTGTGGATAGAGGAAATATGTCGGGTCATTTGACAGAACATATGGGCACATGCTGTTGTCACTGTATTTCAAAAAAAAAACACCCCGCGATGCGCATAGGGGTCGAATAGAGGACTTCAGATGGACGGAGATCAAAAATAACATCGTGCGCACACACTAGTGAGATATCCCATACAGTACACTATTGCACAGTGCACATTCGCACATACACCGTCAGCAGCTCCACCGAGCACTCAGTCACAGCGACAAAACAACAAGAAATACTGGATACGTTGTAAAAGAGAATAACAGTCTCACCTGGTGAGGTTTGCCAGCTGAGGCCACCGATAAACATTTTACTGTAAGGGGAAAACACAACAGAAGTGAGTCCAGATGTCAGTTCGGCCATTTTGACGACTAACTACTTCTAAAAGCGACCTTAAAGGATAAAGGAAGACTATGAAAACACATTCGCGCTTGGTAATTACAGTCTATCTACATGGAAGGGGGAGGCTACTCTCGCTACAAAGCTCAGGTCTTTAAAACTGCATCTGGAAAGAGAACCCGGGTGCACGGTTTAAGTGCGTACTGTGGGGACGAATCCTGCACGGCAGTCGAAGTCCTCTCCAAGATGTTGTAACATGAAAAAAAAAATCGTACCTAAGGATTAAATTTTGAAAGATTCTTACCCCGGGTCATGTTGTGAATCATTTAGGCTTCCGGATGTGGCTTGACTCCCGTCTCCTTCCATATCTATTTCAAACTATAGGCTGGGACTACAGTCACAGTGACAGACACACACAGATACGGCAGGAGATATGCAAAGCCCCGCTATGAGAATATTACTGAGCCGGGAATGAAAGCGTCACACGTGGGATCAGCTCAGCCCCCTGCTCCCTCCTCCCTCTCTCGGCATGCTCTACCTTGGCCCACAGGGGGCGGAGCCTGCCTCTGTCACCTAACCAATCCAATTGACGTCAATTCAGACAATCTGCAAACCAATCCTCCGATTTGTCATTTAATTAAGCAATAAGCCACTAGAGGTGAAAGTGGGTTATTGCTCATCTAAGTCAGTGGACACACACAAAATAAAAAACTTTGTCTTACAAGTGTTGTTTTTGGTAAGTACTGTTTACATAATGTTATTCACACGAAAAGTAAACCTTTACAAACGCAGAAAGGCGTTATATTTCTTATCAAATAGAATGATTTGTTATTCTTCCGCCTTGCAATATAGTCCCCCAGTCAGATACAAAAAAGTAGGGCAATTCTTTCTGCATTGTCATATCCAAATGACCACTATTGTTATTGCACAGAGATAATATAATGGTTTAGATAGTGTAATTCCATTCAGCTGAAAGTTGCATAAACTGTGGAGAATGTGATTGTTTTTGAAGAAGATCTTGTTTAATTTGAAAATTAAAAGAAGAGCTGAAGCTGAGGTCTTCATGATTACTTTATAACACGATACAAACATTATTATTGAATCTTTAGAAACTGAAACATTGTAAAGGCTACTTGCTATGACCAGTAACAATATAATTCCATGTGTTTTTATAATGCGTTATGCTCCAAAAAGGGGGTTCAGCGTTAAAATGTGTTTTGTCCTATTACAGCACTTTTACCAAAAATCAAGCAAGTTCACAGATACAGCCATGCTTCATCCAAGATTGGCATTTATTAACATTGTTATAATGTTTTCGCCTGAAAACTTTCAAATACAGCTCAGGGTGTGCAAAAGATTAGATCAAGAAATATAATAAAGGGGCTCATCTTCATGCAGTGATATGGGCTGATTATTAAAGAATTTCTCCTGAGCCATAAAATCTGTGTTCAAGCTGGTTCAAATCTTGGAGAAAAAAGATCCCTGAGCAACACACTGAATCTCTGTAGCTGACCCTGATGTCTGACCCTTAACCGCTATATTCATTATGAAAGCCAACAAAGACTTTTCCTGTGGGGATCAATAAAGTATAGTATGCATACATGCGGTGGGGTAATTATAGATCTTTTCATGTAGATGACCTATAATGAGCTTGCAGGCCTGCCCTCTGCACACTGTGTGAGGAGATAAGCTGCCTCTGCCCCTTCGTGACCCCAAAGAAGAAGAAGCAGTGGAATGAATGAATGAATGAATGAATGAATGAATAAAAGAACATGTATGACATTTGCCGTGGGAAAATACTTTTGATGTACATTATCTGCACAGCATGCTTTTAAGTAGTACATAAAAATACTCTTTTGTACTAATTATGTTTTAAATAGCACAAGGTAAATATGTATCCAGACAACACATGCAGTTTTCATGAGAATGCTTGAACAAAATACTCGTGATATATAAGCGTGACTAGTGATCTTATTTCATTATCCGCATTCAGTGGAGTTTTTTGAATAGGCCTGTGTGTGCTCACTGTTCAGGGTAGTACCAGAGGGAACGTCTTATCTGGCCAGGCAGCATGTTTTTGAAACAATGACTTAGACAAAGCCCACATAACAACACTTTTAGCAGTTTAACAGCTAAAGCTATGTCATTAGTTAAGGGGGAACTACACTTTGCAGCTGTCCGTTTCTCTAAACAGATGCATTAAAACATTTGATGGCAATTATTTGAAGCATAGGAGTGTTAAAGAAAATTGAAATATGACACCTGAGGTGAAACTATCCCATACTACTTTTTTTTCGGCCCATGCAGTTTGACAACATATCAGGGATTATTTTCCATTTCCTGTTATGAGAAGTATTGTCCAACAGCATCTGACTCGAATGTGAGAACAAGGAAATCACATCCACTCATGCAGCTGCAGAAGAAAAATGGAGAAAAAAGAGAGGGGGAGGATCTAAATTGATGGTGAATCCGAGCTCCGAGGAACAACAGGCTTTAAAGCCCATCACAAGGTGTGCAAAAATCACAGTGGATTTAACACATGAAGACAAGCTTCTGTTTTATGCTCAAATAAAACACTGGAGTCCTAGGTTTTCACAGTGTGCTTGTGAATTATTCTGTATTTTAAACATTGTTATCATAGCTTTTCTATTCTCACTGATTCTGTGGAGAGCGCAAAGAGAAACGTGACAGAGTTGGAGCATGAGGTGTGCGTTTTTCCAATATCTGCTCAAGGGTTGTAACAAGATTTGAACCTTAAACAATCTGATGCCAAAACAGACATGCCTTATTATAATAAAGATCAAAGCCTCGCACTGCACTCGACTACCATATCAGGTTTCAGCAAATATTGCACATTTTATGGCCCAAAAAGGTTTCTTCATAGTTCAAGGTTTGGAACTGTGGATCTTCTGCATCTCATCTTTTACAGTGATTGAAGGAGAAACATTTATAGATTTCTGAATTAGCTCTTAATCTGGCCAGCCTCAACTGCCTAAGAAGAAGTCTAAAATGTTGATTCTTCCGTCGGTGCCCTGACAGCCCTGCTGCAGGAGCAGTTACGAGTATTGAAGAGGAAAAAGAAGGATTATATTTCTAGACTATGAACAAACTGAATTTTGAAAGTTATGCTGGTCTCACAGTTACATCACCATAGCTTAGAGACATTTTTTTTTTTTTTTTTTTAAAAGCTGGTGAAATGGGGCGCCAGTAGCGTAGTGGTTAGTGCGCGCGTCCCATGTACGGAGGCTGTAGTCCTCTAAGCGAGGAGGAGTTCGAATCCGGCCTGTGGCACCCTTGCCGCTGGTCATTCCCCACTCTCTTTCTCCCCGATTTCTGACTATCTCTAAAATAAAGGCCAAAAAAAAAAAAAAACTCATTAAAAGATGGTTCGACATGTTTTGATGATAGCATGAACATTTTCCAAAAAAGACATTCCTGCTTTTTACTCATCTCACCTATTATAAATACATCACTATTTACTTTTCTGAAAATCCTCAAGCTGTATTATTGAAATAGTAGCCTGCATTCAGTGCTGAAAGATGAACCTCTCTTCAATAGGAAGGAAACTCAGCATGCAAAAATGCTTGTTACTAACCGAGCCTTTGCATGAAAACTGGAGGATTTGGGGATTGAGAGTGAAGTAAAATTGATAGTGTGTGAAAGAGCTGTGGGGAAAGAGAAAGCGAGAGAAGCAACAGACTTGGTGGCAGTGTTATGAGATGCTGTTTTGAGAAGAGGCATCCTGTTTCCTGCAGTAATCTTTTTGCGCCCACAGAATCTTTTGCCTGACCTTGAAGAAATTGTGATGCATTACTTTGCGTTATCTGTGCATTAAAAACACAAACAATATCCAATCTTGAAATGCCTTAAGGCACAAATAATGATACTAATAACACACAAATTTAATAAAGATTAATAGACCTGAAGGGATTTTTATGATATTTTGCAATCAGCATGTGTTTCATGCACAAACTGACATGTGAAAGAGCCCACCGTGTATTCATTCAACACTGAAAGAGAGATCAGAAAAGGGAATTTGTTATGCATGTTATTCAAACACCCTTGGGGTGTATATTTTATCTTTGTATTTTAAGAATGATTCCATATTGATCACTGTGGAATGGATTGAGAAATCTGTGCTTTGCCCATGAGGGCTTATTACACTGAAATCCAGAATCCAGAAGGAGGCTGCAGAAAAAAAGCTGCAGATGTGAACAAATTGTCTCCCTCTAGTGTCCTCTTCTCCTTTCTGCTTCTTTTTTTTTTTCTGGCCAAGCTAAAGCATATCTCAGAGTGCAGGGGGAGAGCCAAAAGGAAACATGCATAATTGACAGGCCTATTTCAGGAATTAGCCATCCCCCAAACCACATGTCTACCTGCTCTTTCATCTTCCCCGGAATAACTCAGCATCCTGAGAAGCTCTATTTCTGCCATTTAGTATTTTTTAACCATAAACTGGTGGATTGAATTAATAAAATGTCCGCTCTCATCATTAATGTGCGTGTTTTCCAAATGGTGGATGTATTTTATCCTTGCTGACTAATCATGACATGTCAGGATTGCAGGGAATGTGTACAAGCTTGGTACAATTGTCATCACACAGAGAAACTGTTTGAAGTCAGATCAGTAGGCAGGATGTTCTGGTGATGAATGATTTCACTCCCCCCTTTTATGCCCTCTGTTACTACGCAGATGAGTTAATTAAGCTGAGCCAGAGGCTACACACTAGCATTCCAGGTAGATGTGCTGCTGTGATATTCAGACATCCTAGTTATTAAAAAATTAAACTGTAATATTGAGTTTTTGAAGATCTCTAATACGCTAGGGCTTCCGAATGCTCACAAATTATCCTTGCAAATTTAACACATTAGATATTTCCTTGAGACAAACGCCCCAAAGCACCTCAAGGTAGCGCAAAATAGCTTGCAGTTGCCCAGAGGATCACAGATTGTACAAAATATGCTTAGCAAATTGTACAATTCAAAAGCTTTGGTGATACATATATTTCCCTATAACAAGACCGAGCATCTGATGTGCAATTTTGACCTCAGAAGAACTAAAAGCCCATTTGCATTTGGGGCTCTTCAGACCAATCAGGCTCCAGCACAAGTGGAAGATGACGACATCATTTACCTGCTCCACTGGGCTGGGAGATAAGCTCGTGCCCCTGCTGCTCCCCGGGATGTTCTGTCTGCTGTTTGGACGACTCAGGAGAGAGAGAGCTGTGTGTTACAGATGATGACGAGTGGAGCCATCCCCATCACCTGTACAGTCAGCAGAGGGGAGAGAGATGTGCAATGTTGGCCTTTTGGAGAGCTCTGTCAAGGCAGAGGAGGTGGTAAACCTCTTTCCCCAAGAACAGACTGAACGTGGAAAACTGTCTCGCTCATGTTAGGTGTATGCTTTTTTTTTTTTTTAGGATTATATCTTTAGTGTCACATCATTTCTAAAGTCTGAAAACGATAAAGCCATATTGTCGGCATGCCATTGTTAACAGTCCGACTAGCATTTTGAGCATAGTGTTGAGGGACGACTTCTAACACCTGGCTGTACTACATACAGATGTCTCTTTATGACGATAAACAAAAATACAACTCGTCCACAGTTGACCGCAGTTGGGTGTAAGGTTTCCTTTACGGCCGGATAATACTCCGCGCCTTTATCCTGGACTGTTTACCTGCGTACTGCCAAAGCCCGCCAAAACCATAGACTGTATAATTAAGCCTGAACCACTAGTGGGCACTGCGCAGCGAGTGGTAGAGGTTGTTCCAAGGTAACATGATTTTAATTTACTCTACTGTCATTTGCTGTCAATATAGATTACAGTTCCTGTAAAACAAAGGCAATTTGAAGAGCTTTACACAAGTCATCATCACGCCAAAGGGAAAAAGAAACACTCTCGAAAGCAATGATGACGCACTCACTATAATGATTGTCGCCAATATGCCAATATCTCAATAAAACAATATGGCTACCTAAAAAATAGCTTTCAAAGCATTCTCTATTCATTTTAGCATATCCTGGAAAAAACGATCTAAAATGTTCATTCTGAGTTGTTCTGCAGTTTGCGAGCGTATACAAAGTTTGCGTCTAATGAAATGCCGCCTGCAGTTTCATTGCCCCATACCAAAAAGTCTGCCAGTTAAACGTCACATTTTAGTGCTATTGGCTACGGTAAATGTTAATCAATATCAAAGGTAATTCCATCCATAGTGCTCTGTTTTTCCAAGAAAACGCACAAAAATGCGGAAAAGTTAGCGACATTCCTGCCGTTCAGTGGGAACTCATCCCTTTTTTTGTCTTTACAAATGCAAATTTAACATGTAGCCTATAGTTAAATTTACTTGTTAACTGATATTAAGACACACAAGGTGCTTCTTAATGTTTCTTAATGACAAACCTTAGACACTGAGAATAAATCTTATAGCCTACATATTTTTCCATCCTTTGTGTGAATGTTTATGTTCTTATTTTTTCGATCTTCCAGAGGCTGCGATAACCAAGCCCTTCAGGACACCATGTGGCATTCTCTGTCGTCTGGGTCATTCTTTGTTTTTCTACAAGCCAATCCTCTCACCCTCCCTTTTTGCTTTATTTTCCCCTAACCGGCTGCCACTATATATTCTCTCAGTTGCCAACCACTTCTTATTCTGCATCAACTGACCTTAACAGTGACCTTGCCTTGTCTGTGCCATTGAGACGAGAGCCAGAAATACCATATCCTCAGCTTCCCCCACTATGCTGCAGGCTAGAATTTTTGCCTGTCTCATCAGTCTTCTGGCTGCTGGAGTACGCCTTGTTATTTTTTTTTTCCACATTCTTACACGTTTTGCTTTTCAGCTGATCACTGCACGAACTGGAAAACATTGCTCTCGGCTCAAAGGGATGGTGAGCCTTGGCATATAGACCCGAGCTGTCAATACAGATTAGGTTTATCAGATAAACTTTATCTGCAACATTGGAGCGTCCTTTAGTTGGGTAGCAGCCTAATTCTGGGGTACAATTGATACTGTGACAGACTCGAAGGACAGCGAAATTGAAAGCCATTGTTTTTTTCATACAGGCCTTTTCAAAGCAGGCTACTGGTCTACCAATATGGTCAGCAATGATGTGCATTGCATGAGGTGTACATGGCTGTCGGTTGCTGGCATTTCACCATAGATTTCATAATCTTCCTGTGTCATATAAGCAAAATGGTTCCCTTCATTGACAGGGGGCCTTAGCCTTATTTTGCTCTCAGTGAGATGTCTAAGAATCATGAAGCTGTTATTCAAGCTGTTTAAACGGGTTATTTATTTCTCATCTTGTTATATTAAATTTCCAAACAGGAGTGAACAACAGTTACATTTGCATTGTTAAAAAAAAATATTCAAAAAGTAGTGTCTCTTTAAGAACAAGAAACCATTTGACAAGATTTCTGCTAGATAGATTGTGTTCCTATAAGTTGATTACATACTTTTGTCAGGGGATCGCCCTCTGGCACCCAATCAAATCAAATGGAATAAAAGCATTAGTTGCATGTTTGAATGAGTGAATTATTGACGCCTGCTGCAGCTGTAAACTCTAATAATTTGCTTCAAAAGGAGGTTAAGGGGACAAAAGAAATAAGATGAATGTGAATTTCAGACAAAGGTCAGATTTTGTTCTACACGTTCTTATGAACAGCCCTTGTAAGGGGCATGGTGTGTCCTGGTAAAGACAATCCTCTCTATTGTTTTGGGGTAAATATTCATTTCAGTCTCACCACCACAAGAGGGCACTTTGAGCACATGTAATCAAAAAAGGAACGGATGTCATTTGTGTTTATGTATCTGTGTCTCTGTGTGTATTCATGGAGGAGTCTCAAAGTGACAAAGTGTCTCTTGTGTTTTCCTTCCAGGAGTGGTGAGTCAAAAATCACTCTCAGGTTCACCACCTAGTACACTCACTTTCTGGCAGCTCTTACTGAAGGGGAACAGCTAGCAGGCTGTTTTCTGGGTGCCATGATATTTCTGTAGATGCAATTTCAGAATTAGGTTCAGTTACAAACTTACTCCAAGAACCTGTCAGCTTGGTGATGAGCCTGCTTTATGGGCTTTTAGCTTTTTTATGCAAATGTGTTCCAATAAATCAAGATATATGAGATATAATCCTCAAAAAATAAAAAGCGTCATAATTATTTCCATAGCAATGCACTTTCTGTTCTTAATGTCTTTTTATATTCAATGTTATTCCCCAAGTTGATGGGGAATTCCAGGTATAACATTATGAGAGGGCAGAAAGGTTGTTGGGTAAAAAAAAAAAAAGTACACTGAGGGGGAGACTTCTTGTTTGCAGCTGAAAGAAAGAGAGAAAGAAAGCAGCTCACTCAAAAACAAGCTCGGTGGAGGAATGAAGAGTGGAGGCATGGCAGCAGTAAATGATGCTAGCCCTCTACACCTTGACAGTTATTAGGAGACACCAGAAGAGAAATCTGACAAAGCTTTGTGTTGTCTACTGAGAAAATAATTGGTAAGCAGGTCAGTTCACTGCTGGCAAGAACTTAGAAAAGATTAGAAAAGAAGGTTACAACCACAACATTAACCACACAAAAAGGAACCTTTTACAGATCAAAAACTAAACGAAAACGGCTAAAATGAACGGTAAAAAAGTGAAACGCGATTTATTGCAATTTAAAACAAATGTATGCATTACGCTTTGGTCTTAATTAATCATAATTAGGTAATGGTGCAAAGTGTATTTAGAACCAAACTCTAACTGGAACCTCAATTTGTCTCATAATGTCCAATAAATTAGATCTAATTTAAAATCGAACTAGATGGATATCTAACTAGGTTTGAAAATAAGGATACATTTAGAGGGCCTTGTTGGAATAAGCTTGATAAAAAAATATTTGCGAATGAAGAAGTCTTTAGAGGAAGGTACAAGTAAAAGGAGAAACTGTGGGGGTAAATGAAAGCTAAGTTAACTTTCTTATACCAGCGACCACAATTTTTGTTTCTGTTTGGCTTCTGCTTCTTAGCTATAAATATATTGAATTTATTTAGCAGGTGCACAAGTTTCCGGTATGAAGACTGGTGTGCGATTTTATATTTGTGTTCTCTTAATAACTCAGACATTGTTCTTCTGTTTACTACTTCCACATAACTTGATTTCAATGTTAATATATAATCAGGTTTGATCCCTAGCCCAGTTAGCAGTATGTTAGATGTTTATCAACTCTCTATTGATTATCTAGTCTGTGCCCTGTCCTCTCTGCCACAGATGTTGCTGCATGTCTCATGTTCTCCCCTACAAGGGCATCTATAAATACATAAAAAGTTTTGAAACGATTTTAGCGCATTCTCTGTTCCACAACTTATTTCTGCATTTAGCCGATAATAATTTTTTTCGCCATGTTTAAAAAAACAAAAAACAGGAAAGACTGCTCATCGATCCACTGATAAGACAATGTTTTTGTCTGGGCGGTTTCCAGGTGTGATAAACGGTGAAGCAAGGTCTGAAGTCTGTTTGTGCTTAGTGAACTTTCACTCAGTTAAAAAATCAAATCTGAGTAAGTCACTGTTTGATGACTTTATTTTGTAAAATTGTTTAAAGCCTTGAAAAACTTCTAACTCCTGTGATTGTTGACACAGATGTCAAAGGTGCATGGGAGATGTTTTCATTGAAAAAAAAGCTATGTAGTCAAAGTTCAGCAAGTGTGTTAAAAAACAGTGAAGTCAAAATTCACACAGTCATCAGGAAGTGTAAACAACACACATTTTATTTGACTTAATAGAAGTCAATTCCTCGTTGTTTTTCAAATTAAGTCGGCTGAGATGCATTTCCTGCTCTTTTGGCACCTTGATCATGGTTTTTCTAACTTATAAAACCTATAGGCATCCTCTTTTTACCCTAAATGCAACAAGGAATATCTTAACCTTTCATCTAAATAAGCTGAGAATGTCTGAGATTTAATGCTCTGTTGTGATATAGCAATAGGTTAGCATTCCTGGAACGTCCAATCACCATGCAGATCATTTTCCCCGGCGTCACTGAATCATGAAGGACACTTAAGTCTGAGATGTGATCAAAATACAGAAGCAGTACTCGGTACTCACAGTTTGTAGAAACAGTGATACAACATTGTCCATTTGTTTTCCCTGTGCTCCTCGGATAATCTGTTTCGTATTTGTCATGATAAGTTTTTTTTACATACACCCTGTCCCCAGGAAAATAAAGCTCTTCTAGTAAGAGATGTTGGCTGATACAAGAAACAAGCAGGCAGGCATAAAGGACATATTTTAAATGGAGTCAAACAAGTCATTCAGAAATTTTGGGTTCATACCGTCTCTTTAAAAACAAACAATAGGCTACATTTCCATAATTTACAACATGAACTTACAACATCAGTAAGATCAGAGCAATAAATATGGAAACAAAATTCCCACCTCCCCAAAATGAAATGTACCATTCTTTGTAGGTCATATCACTGTCCTGTTTGAAAGATGTAGACTATAGCTGCACAAGGCTACATTCAGGAACAATCCTGAATTTATAGTGCCACCATGTGCTAAGATTGATTTATTACAATGTTGTTGGAAAAATGTATGAACAAGGCATTTGCCTTCAGACTTGAAAAAAGAGTTATCAAGGGTGCTGGTGGCGCGGTGGTTTGTGTGTGCGCCCCGTGTGTGGAGGCTGTGGTCCTGCAGGCGGGCGGCCCGGGTTCGCATCCCGCCTACGGTTCCTTTCCCTCATGTCGTTCCCCACTCTCTCTCTCTCCCTGATTTCCAACTCTATCCACTGTCCTATCTATCCATTAAAGGCACAAAATGCCCCAAAAAAATCTTTAAAAAAAAAAGGGTTATCAAAAATTGTAGTGTGAGAGTAGAATCCTATCATTTACAGCCAAATGCAATAATAACAAAACTTTTCATGAAGCCTTTGTACAGTGAAGGGCCTTTTGCAGTCGCGTCTTGCATTATACAAACAAATCAGAAGTCTTGTTCTTGTGCTGTTTATATTGTGCTACTGTATGAATTAAGACTTTACACCAAACTGTGTTTTTTTTTTTCAAAAATAGTCCTCCTTCATAGGACCTGTTGAAGAAAGAGAAACAGAAGCCCCAGATTGTTCAGGAAAGTAAGCGAGGAGAATGTGACACATGCTGGGGTGCTGTTGTTGATGCCCCGAGGAATGGACTGATTGTGCCTCCTCACACTTCTGGTGCGAAGTGTTGTTGTTTTCTTTGTTTGTGTAGAGGGGCTCACTGTTGTGAAGATCTGGTCTGTTGTCTGTGTCATGTCAGCTCTGATGGGTGTTTCAGCAATGACGCTGGGGTCAGAAACTGAAGACGTGTCGGTGGTGTGGAGGGAAACACCAGTTGAGGCTTCCTTTGTGCGAGAAACGAGATGTGAATCCATGTGTAGCGTGCGCTCTGTGACAAAGAAGTGATTAATAGTGAGGTGTGGGCCTGTTCTTCTGGGTGTTAGGGTAGAGAAGGTGTTGTGGTGTGTGTGTCTGTGTGACTCTTTAGGGGTGTTTGGGGTGCTTAGTAGAGAGGAACCCGACAAGTACCACCAACCGGTGACACTAGCTTCTGAAGGCGTGGAGCTCTGGTACTGAGCACTTGCCGCCAGAGGGGGCAGGTTGTATGAGGCAAAATGCCAACCTCCGGTCTTGCTAGGGCGAACACCTCCACAGACAGGCTGGGTGTGGCAGGGGCAGCCCAGGATCCTTGCAGGGGTGCGCTGCGACCAGGAAAGTAGGTAGGCGATGTCGGCATAAAGATGACAGTCCCAAGGGTTGTCCCCAAGGTTGATGACTTTAAGTGACACCATCTTGTCAAACACTCCAAACGGCAGCGAGGAAAAGTGGTTAGCATGCAGAAAGAAGTGAGTTAGCCTGATTAGCCGGTCTAGAGATCCTGGCAGCACCTTAACAAGTGAGTTGTGGGAAAGGTCAATGGTCTCCAGGTGTGCAGGCAGATTTGTGGGTATGGTTCTCAAGTGATTGTAGCTTAAGTTAACCATGCACATGTTGATCAGGGTATTGTTGATAAATATGGCCCGCTCCAGCTTATTGTTGGAGAGGTCAAGCATTCGCAGATTCCACTGGTAGACAGTGTCGTTCTTGTCCAGCAGCTGGAGACGGTTGGAGGAGGCGTAGAGATTCCACAGAGATCGAGGCAAGCCCGTTGGAAGATGGTTCAGCCGATTGTGAGACAAATCAAGGAAGCGTAGATGGGTGTACGCAGTGAGCTGGCCATCCAGGTCGTGGAACCGGTTGTGGGACAAGTTGAGGGAATGTACATTATGCTGCAAGCCATCGGGCAACTGTCTCAGGCCCCTCCAGGAGCAGTCTACCTCCCGGTGGCTGCGGCTGCAAGTGCACATGGTGGGGCACGCGGCAAGGACGTGCGAACCCAACAAGAGCGTGAGAAGGAGTTCCAGAACGGCCTCATGATAGGAGAGCTTTAGCAGCACATGCCTGCTGGAAGAAAGAACAAAAAGAGACATGGATGTTACAGTTCCGCCTTCACAAAATCCTTGCAATCAAATGAGGCACAAGTATGGTATTACTCAAGATAAGTCTATTGGATGATCTAAGTCATGTCCTAGAATTGAACACAAGAGTGTTTCCCATTTTTATAGAAAGATTATCTTTCATACCAAGTTTTTAAGGGTCAGTGGTTTATAATTTCCACCTTTTTTCATACCGCATATTTGCACTGCTCTCTTCTTGGTCTTGAGTTGTCTCGTGCTACCTTTTTCTTGGTCTTGACTCAACCTGGATCCCTCCAGGTCTTGGTAATATCTCTGTGTTGATACACTCTGATCGTATTCAGGACTTGGTCGACATTTAAGCGGTCTTAAGTGCATCACTTGGCAACAAAACTTTCAAAGTAGAAATGATGCTTGCAGATAGTGAGCCCATGCAGCATTATTGTCTGTATCTGAGATGCAAAGCAACTACAGCTTCGTTGTATAAAACTTTTCTCATTGTTTCTTTAAAGCGCCACCCTCTGCAGGATGTCTCTCTAGCTCTCTTACTGAATTGTACAGTCACAGAAGGCTGCTCAATGTGTGCTGCAAATCCCTGCATTGCTCTGAGATACACACATTCACAATAAACCACCCCCCCCCCCCCCCAAAAAAAAAAAAAAACAAAAAAAACCCTGTAGGCTGCCTGCAGGAATGTTTTAAGGGATGCTTTGGCAGAGAAATGTGTGTGTTGTTTATATCCACCATTGACAAAGGAAGAAATGTGCCCTTTTCTGTAGCTGATAAACATCTGACCTGATCTGTAAGAAGATATTTCTAGTCTATTCAAGAATATCATCAATCACAGAGCATGAGAAATCCCTGTAGTCATTTTCCCTGGCATCAGTTTGTGTCTTCAGTCATCAGAGCAGTCAGTCCCAGGCTCCCAGAGGAGGAGAAGTAGCTCAATAGATGGGTTTTATTAATGACTCCACAGAGAACTCATGCGTCAGCTGCTGCAAAGGCAAGCAAAGACACGGCCAGGAGCTTGACACTGCGGTGCATGTGAGCCAGGGTGTGGCAGAATGTGTGCGTAAAAATAGTGTTGGAATTTTGTCCATAACTCACCTTCTCATCTTATCATTCCAGTCACTTTCTCTGCTCCTTTTATTTCTCCTCTTCCCTCTCCTCTTCCTGCTTTCAAGCTCGGGACCAGCTGCTGCTCGGCTGAAGATGATTTTTTTTTTTTTTTTTCAATGCCTAATAGAATTTGACCCTTGCTCTCGTGTCCAGCGCAGGTTTTTCTGAAGTTGTCCTCTCTGCCTGGCACTTAGGTCCCTTTGTCCTCTCTGCCTGTTATAGAGATCTTTTGAGTTAGAGCGATCTAGCACTACTGCAGGCTCTGGATTTACTCTGTGCAGTGGAAGTGAGGAAGTGCTGGGGTGCTGGTTGGGGATAGTATCAGGAGTGTGTGTGGGGGGGGGGTGGGGGGGGGTAAGGAGAAATGTGCATTACAGGGTTGTCTCTGCACATAGGGCTGCTGCAAAGGAAACTCCTCTCTCACTTATCTGGATTTCAGGATTTAATTTGGCATGCAAAGTGATAACTATTCTTATGGTTAGATTAATTGCCTGATTTCAGTCCTGTTTGCACTCAAAATAATTTATAATCTTATCAACTTGATAAATATTTCCCCTCTCTAAATTTTGCCATTTAGAAATACCCTGCTGTAATTGGTTGTTATTCCTCCTTGTGTAAATGCAGACGCTGCCACAAAAACCTTCAGGATTTGTTGCAGGGCTCCCATTTGCTGCAGCTTCCTGTAATCAGCATCACATGCAGCTCTCCATTCTGTACTGCATTGCTGTACTTCAAACTGACATAATCACCTTAAATTCTAAGGGATAGTTGAACAGGGATACAGATTGTGTTAGGGGTGTCAACTTATTTAAATGTGAATAAATAAGAGCAGCGATTTGCAATGGTGATGTCCTCTTGCCCCTTTAATATCATATCTTTTGTTTTCTTGATTGCATAATATGTCATTTTGTCACACTTTATGTGTGTATGTTGTGCGTGACTGTGTCTGGCACACTGTACTGTTGTGTTTTTTTTTGTGTTGGACCCCCTCGAAAACAAGATGGTTCATCTCAAGGGGTTATCGGTTAACTTTGGAATCCAGATGTATTCATCCACAGCAGTTTTAGAGAGGCTTTGCTCTTTTGTTTTTCTCTCTTACTTTTCTTTGCTCAGTGGTCATACAAAACAAATCGAAGTACCTCTTTAGCAATATGTGTCCTACTTCCTCACTTACCTTTCAATGCAAATTCCACTTTTGCATTCCTATTTACAACAACTACCTGCACTTTGATTTCAACAAATGTTTCCTGGCATTAACCCTTACAAGAAGCCTTTAAAGTGAAACCCTCACTTCCACTGTCACCACAGCATGCTATGCTGCCTTAGCAATTGTTTGCCGTATTCATTTTAAATGCCTGATGTATACAGAAATATGTGCCTGGTTAAAAAATATTTGTTATCTCTCTGAGGATAACTTTTACTGCATCCCATCTCCAAACTTGCACCTCTCACAGAGCAACTGCAGCTCAGAGAGCTCCTCGCTATTAGAAGTGGAGCTGGAGTTAGAGCGGAGGCTACATTGAAAAGGGACTAACTGTTCTGACTTTTAATGAAAGGTTCATATCCATCATGACGTCACAACTAAGTAGATGAACAAATATCTGCAAAAGGCGGCGGAAACAACCCAATATAGTTTAAAAAAGAGGTTTATTGTGCAGCTTTGTCAGCTCAGGCTGAGGTGAAAAGAGCCTTCTTTCCTAGTCGAGAGGCATTGCCCAGAAGAGGCACAGACTCTGCGTGCTAATCAAGCAGAGTGCTACTCTGACACAACCCCCGCACACTCACACAAGCACAGCCAGTAAAACGGAAACAGTTTCATAGTTAGAAATTCAAGAATAACCCTACAATCTATGGTTTTACTCTTCGACATGGAGCATAAGTTACAATTACTTAAATCCATAGTTTGTAGTCAAGCATCTAAGACACACATCAACTTGCACAAAAGTCTATTGAAATAAGATACAAAATATACAAATAACAGAAAATACAATGCATCATTTTAAATGTTCAATTATTACTTAGTTTGACAGACTTAAAAGCACAAATTGTTTATAAACTTATTGTAACGTGTAAAGCATCGTCTTCAGGAAAAGTTTGCATTTATTTGAAGTAAAGGTGTTAAAAAAAGATTTGGGGAAGAAATGGCAGTTGCTCTTTGGCTACACACACACACACACACACACACACACACACACACACACACACACACACACACACACACACACACACACAGACACAGACACACACACACTTTACACCACATCCTTTGGTTCCTCTGTGCCCTCAGGGGAGGGGGCTGCCGTGGCTTCAATGGCCTCCTCTTTGGGCTCTGAGGAGGCACAGACGGCTACAGGTGTAGCTGCAGCCTCCTCACTTTTGGTGGCGTCCCCTTCCTCCGTCTTGTTCTCCTTCTCCCCTTCTTCCTCGGTGGTGCCGTTAGCCCTCTCCTCCTTGGTTTGACTCATGTCTGACATTAACACGGTTGTCTCCTTGGGTTCTGTCTCGGACTTGCTTTTGTTCTTCTTGGCCGATTCCATCCAGTACTCAGAGGTGCTGATCAGGTCAGCGTTGCTGCTCAGCTCCTTGATGCGCCTACTCAGGCGGCACACCTTCCAAGCCAAGAAAAAGACAGAGAGCAGCAGAATGACACAGAGTATGATCAGTCCGCCTGACGCCATCAACACCTGTCGACAGTCCCATTTGAAGAAAAAAGCTTCAAGTTGTGTTGTCACTGGGACAAGGGGACCTGACGTGCTTTGACTCTGGGGGACAACTGCTGGTGACTGACTGCTCGACAGCCTGTTCCCAGAAGTGCTGCTGGCCTCAGTATCATGGGTAATGGTACTGCTTGGAGCAGGCTGGGAAGTTGACTGAGAAGCTGTGCTATCGTTGTCATCAGTAGGATCTTCTCCATCATTTCCACTAATTCCACTCATTCCACTCACAATTGCTATGTAGCACATCAGGAAGAGGAAGCAGTTCATGTTGGAATCTGAGAAGACATGTAAATGCAGTTTAGTATAACATGATGGAGTACAAATTGAATTCAGCAAAGAGAAGTAGAAGAAGCCGTAGCGCCTTATGTAACATCATTTTGACACTCATAATCTAACCAAAACTGTATTTTGAGGGGAATTGTGTTTTGGCCTATTTCTTACACTAGTTAAATATACTTTTAATAGTATAATGTACAATTTTGTTTTTCATATTTGAAATTTTATATCAGCATTCATATTAATCTGCTTCATTTTTAAAGAGAAATATTGGACAGCTATAAATTCAGCGATAGTACGGTATGTAATGATCATTCTGAGAGTGGTCTTTCTGATTTCTTTTACTTCAGGTATTTTTTTTATAATAATACCCATGTTATCGTTTGAAAGCAGGCTGTTTGTCTATAACAAAGTTTAATTTACACAACAGTAGCACATTGCTAACTGCAATTCAATTTTTCGTTTTTGAAAGGTACATTATGTAAAACATCCTGTACTGGAAGTTAATCAAGCACAGTGGGCATTAAGTTGCCTGTTGTTTTCTTTTTCAAAAGTGTAAATTCATTTAAAAAGTTTGCTGAATGACCATTGGTTTGAAGGCATTCTGCACCCCATGCACTCCAATTTACAGCTCATCTGAAAAACACATTCATCTAACAGTGAACAAACTTTGCATTCAATAGCTTACTTACCTGAATTCTTTTATCTGATAGTTTCTTCAACGGTTGTTCAAGTGTTTTATATTTTGTCTCTTAATGAGTCAGTTTGATTGTATTATTGATATTCTGGTGAAAGAAAAGTTGTGATTCTACAGATTTTCCTCTTACGTAGGTTTTCAATTTTCAGAAGCCTTGGTCAGAATCTGAAATTGTTTGAGGTGATATCTGTTGATAAAATTCTTCAGTATGTTCCATCGACTGACTTCCTCTGATGATGAATTCACAATTCACGATAGACCTTTTACTGTTTTACCGTGTCTTTCCCTCGTGTTTAACCCTGTGTTTTAAGTAGGCTTGTACACAAAACATAAAAAACATCACATTTTATTATCAGGATTTAGGACAGGAACATTTTACAACACTGAATACAAATGTTAACCAGTATTCCTTCATCTAGCAGTCTAAGTTGTATCTTAAAATGTACATTTATAATGTTGTTCTTTGGTCCCCTTGTAATTATTTAAAGGTTTAAAAAAAAGAAGTAAGAATTCATAATCAGTCACTTACATTCTTTGTGATCTTGTAACAGCTCCAATAATCGTTTTCTGTGGCTGTAAAGTGAGATAAACGATGTGTGAAGTGACACAATGACAGCTGTCCAAATCAAGGGCACACTCATCTGGCTTCTTACTTCTCTATTTGGTATATAAAAAGAAAAGGAAGTGGTTTTTCTATTCTATTCTATGCTTTAGCTGGTCACGCAGACATCTGTAAGCGTGGGGTGGGGTGGGAGAGAGAGAGAAGACTATAAAAAAAAAAAAGCTGTCGGTATGCTGAATGCTAACTTTCAGTGAGATCATTCTCATGACATTGTTCTTCAGGCTTTGGGAGATTTGGACATATGAATTCTGGACTTTACAATATTTGTGAACTCTGAAGCCATTTATAGCTGTTTTAACTGAACAATATGAAGAATGGACCTCACAATTCTACAGAGCTCCACCCAAAATCTGCATGACACTGTGAATGCTGCATGGTTGTAACTCAACAAGTTAGGCAGCGCGTTGCGTTTATTTAAATGTTTTGGTTTTGATGACGTCTCTAACGCATGTGTTTCTCTATTCAGAAGCGTTGATGCTGATAAGCTCTACCACAGTTAATAATAAGTTTGTAGTTATATTGGGACCCTAGTTACTCTATGTGAAATAATTGGGGGGGAAATAACATGCGTATGTCTGTGTTCTTCAGAATCTTCTTTTTTTCCAAGCCATAGTTGATTCCAAATCATATCAACTACAGTGTGGTCTAAGTCTAATGTCTTAGTCAGATAATGCTAAAGCGCAACTATAGCACATAATGAAAAAATATCAAGTGCATGGATTTACTGAAGTCCCCCTTCCAGTTCCCTCTGTAGCTGTATGTTGGTGTTTCCAGTGTGATTTTTGAAATGTGTCTGCAGCTACATGTCTAACTGTCACAAAATGTGATGTTTTGCAGGTTACATCCTCTCAGCAGACGACAACAGCAGCTTGCAAAGCAGCGCTACCAACTCATCATTCAACACATTTAATGCCCCAGCACGTTTTACAGGAATTGCCACCACTGCACTCATGACGTACTGTTGTGCTTTTAGCATTAAGGAAGTAAAACCTTATAAATGTTTAGTTAAATAGATCAACGAATAGCTACTTGCAACATGTTCCTGCTGAATTTAAAACAAATCCACATTTTTAAATGTGAGAGTAGCTGATCGCTATAGCATTAGCTTCATCTGAGTTTATCTATATTGTATTAGAGCATGGCTGTAATACACAGACCTTCATTCAACAGGTAAAATGTACACATGCTGAGTAAGAAAGCATTGCTTGTTAACACCAAATCATTTTTCTTGTGTATTGTGATAATTTCAGTCTCTTGCAATATGTTTATTGCAAACGCTCGTATAGGTTTGATGGTAAAATAGCAAATTATTGTGCAGTCCTACTACATACACAGACATGAAAATCTCTTACATACACAATATAAGTTGGTACAGATACTGAGCAATTCAAAATGGACCAATACTTTTTAGCACCTATCCTTGATGCTGATATAATTTGATGTAGGAGAAAAACATCATCAGTCTCATTATGTATTTGAGGAAGTGAAAATAGGAGGAAGGCAGATGACTTTAGCTCAAAATCAACATCACCTGTGATGGAAAGTCCCATTTGTCTAAAATAATAGTCAAATTATAGACAAGGCAGGGTGATTTACATAAAGATCTTTAAGAAACACGTGTTTTTGAAAAACGGTGTAATAAGACAGGAGTTTAAGAGAAATGGTTAAATTGAATAACACTGCAGATAAATAAATGAAATGGAATGCCACAATTGTATGGAAAAAAGCAATGGAGGTACAAAATAAAAGTTCTCTTACCTTACTAAAGAGCGAAATGTAAATACTCATTTTAAAAAGAGCTCAGAGTTTGAGAAGATTTCACATTTTCTTAAAGTTTCTGTTAAAAGTGTTTAATGAAAGATCTAAGAATAGAGCCCTGGGGAATCTAATGTGGTCAATAAAGAAGCTTTATCAATATGTGCCAAGGCCTGTCCAAGGGATTGTCAATATATCTGTTCAAAACTCTGACTGTATTTAAAGATGGCTGTGTCCTCTCCTATTTTACAAAAACAACGCCAAAAATACCCCCTGCGATAAGCGCTGCCGTATTGTGCTTTTCACGTTTGGAGCCAGGGATCAGTTTGTGGAGCTGCTGTATTCACTCAGTAAACAATTGCACATAAATCCGAATAATAAACACTGAGTATAGTGATTGAAACCATGTTTGAGAAAAAATAATTTGAAATGTGTTTAGATTTTCTTTTGACCCATGTCCCATTTGTTAAATCATATGACCTATTCTATTCCTACAGTCAGTATAGGCGACACACAAACCAATGCAGAACAATAGATAAGATAGCTGATTAGCAAAGACATCAAAAGTCTTTCTACTTAGCGAAGGTAGCCTGTAGATGTAAAACAAAAATGCATCCATATAGGCGAAAATATCTAAACAAATATCCTTAATCCACGTTAAACCATTTAAGAAAAAGGGAAAGGGAACAAGAACACTCTGCCTGCTTTCTTATAGTCTTAGCTTCTCGATTAAAACCGAAGCTGGGAGTGGTTTACAATGCTGTTTGCGGTGCAGTTTTGTGTCCGCCATTATCACCAAATCCAGTTCTTTAATGACTGATCTAAGGTTGATAGAGATACCTCTAAGAGGGAAGGTGAGGGGTGACTGATGAGGAAAACATTTGGTGACCTTGCTGGCCTTATCTGTCTTGTCTGCCGAAGCAGGAGAAAGCCAATCTCTCTATTTGCCGTCTTCTTTATCAGCAAGGTTAGCGTTAGAAAATGTGTCTGGTTGGGTTGGAGGCAGACAACGTGGCAGTGATCGGGGGGTTGAATTTAATGCCAGCATTACCCGGCGCTTCCATTTTATCAGTGAATCCCAAAAGAGGTGGGGCAGGGCAGGGGAAGAAAAGAGATTGAAGGGAGGAGGAATGAGGAGACAGATAAATGAGCTTTTTGTCAACACAGTTAGATTGAGGCTGTGTTGTCTTTGTGGCAGAGAGGTTAGTGTGTATAAAGGTGAATCATCATGGACCTGGCCTTTGGTCGTTGGATGATCTAACCTCAGATTGGTTTGGTTGGAGGCCATGTTCAATGAAAATATACCTGCACTCCCAAGAATCAGGCCTTTGTTCAGAAGTGGATATAGCCTCTTGGTTTCCAATGTGAAGTCAATGTGGATGTGCCCGACGCTTGTACTCGTTCTTATGGCCAGCAGGGGGTGACTCAACTGGTTGCAAAAAGAAATGTGGTTGTAGTTTAGAAAATTAGCCTACTTCTCAAATGATTTATTACCCCAGTTCATATTTCCAGTGAATTCATTGACTCAATAGCTACTTTAAAGATTTTTTTTTTTTTTAATAAATCATGATTTTTGTTCCACTGAGAGAATAATTGACGATATTCTTAAGGGTGTGACTGAGATTGACAAGTTGCTGCCACAACAACCCGTCAAACAGGATAGAGACCTAATCAGATCCACCTGTCGTTAAAAAGAGATCCCTATATATGGTTTCAACAAAATCCTTACGTTTGTTTATATATATCATATGTTAGAAACTGTTTTGACCGTTTGTTTTCCCACCATTGCTGCACATGAGACTTTTTTTCTGTGATTACTGTACATCTTTAACTCTCCAGTGTCCAAACTATTCCATTAGTGGTCATTCTCACCATTAAACATGTTTTTTTTTTTTAACCATGTATATGGTCCAAACCTTTTCTCCAGCAGTATTACCTGAGTAGACTCTGGTTTGTTTGTGCACAGCTTTGTCGTCTTGCACACATTTGCGGTGTTATGTCGATTTTTAAAGAGTTCCCCAGAGTGAATACACTCATATCGAGTGCAGAGATCTTCTGTAAGTATTTATGACATTCTGTCCACTTCCCCGATCTAAGTGAGCAGTGAGGCATAGTGCAGTCTGTGCACACCTCTGTCAGCAGTCCTCTGACTTACTGTTTTAGTTGTGTTGACACCGTAGATAGCAGGAGGTAAATCAGTAGATACTTGCAACCAAGAAGTGTCATAAATTATCCCCAAAATGCCTGAGCTCTACAAGAAAAACCTCATTAAATGTGTTATAGTTTCCGAAAAATAGAAAGAGGCTGTGTTCACGACTCTCCTGTGAACCTCAGGCTTGCTCTTATCTGTAACTTACAATTTGAAAACAGTATTTTTAATTGGATCATAAATATTGTAAATATTGACATTGCCTAATCTCTACTACATTTACATGTCATCCAGTACAGAATTCAGTGACATACATTACAAAATAAACAACTTGTTTGTTGAAAATGCCACGCAGGAAAGAAAAGGACTTTCAGTGCCAGGCCGCCCAGTGAAAGAAACAGTCTCCCCTCACCAAATGCTGGTCACGTGATCCAGTACCAGTTGGAGTCAAAGAGGTTGCAGAGCATCATCAGGCAGGATACAATGTCCTGTCTTTTCTCTTTGATTGATACCAGTTTACAAAAGAGATATCAATCAATCATTCTTTCAGTCTTATTATTCACAGCCCAACTCAGGCCGCATTGTCACAGATTACAGGTTTCAAGGACTGAATACAGTATTTACTATTTCACTCACAGCTTTCAAGGCCTGGTATTATAAATCTTTAATCATCCCTAACAAAACTGTATTAGTAGAAATCGGACAACAATAAAAAAAAACATAAAAACACAATTCATACATTTGTCCCCCATAAGGGGCTTTTAAGCACTCCCAATGCTGACAGCTCAAACTTCTTTGCAATCAATCACCACGATGGATATATGTGGTTATATAGACGTTTAAAGCAGGATTGAGCAATGCAGGCAGATTAGATATTTAGTCCTGTATAGTAATATGCTGTTTTGCAGAACAGTATTTGTAAGTGTTATTTTTCTTAATTTCTCACAGCTTCAGACATTTCCGCTGCCAAACTTACAAGGACAGCTGGTTTCCAGATTAAAGAGATAGTGTCTCTTTTTCCATCCAAGATGTTCAATTCCTCTTGGGTCAAGAAAGTTTACACTTTGTCACTTCGATAGTTAACGAGCATTAAAAAGCAGACCCACTTCACATTAAATGTGTGCAACAGAAATAGAAATAGCACTGCTCAATACACGTAGACATAA